CAATAAAACCTTTCAGCATCATTGTAGTTTTAAAACAACACTGATTTAGTTTGTTGGATTGTAGATTAAATAAAATACTTTCCAATAAATGGAAACAAAATTTGCCCCAAAAAAAAAGATAATCAAGTAAAGTAATGCTGTGAGTTGATACACTGATCTAAAGCATCAACGCAAGTTTAATGAGCTCTATAAACTACACTATGTGTAAAAAATAAATAAAAACTTTACAGATGGATTTCTGACATAACAGGAACAACTTTCCGTGCAACCCATGGATTTAGTTGCAGTAAAAGTTTCTTAATCCTCGTCAGATTCTCCTGTAACATCGCTGACTGACTGACACTGCTTGATTTCTATCAACATTTAAAAAACAAGTTTTATCAAACAGTGCTGTTTAGTGGTTGCTTGCTGATGGTAAAATGTTGATTACTGTGTCACCTTGTTGATCTGGACATCCTTCAGTTAAGGGAAACAGTCCAATATATATATATATATATATATATATATATATATATATATATATATATGTATATTTAATTTATTTAAGAATCAGTATAAAATCATTTCACCCCACAAAAGGTGCAGCTCTGACCCAACTGTTGTCTGATGGAGTGCACAGTTTGCTTCATGCTGTGGATAAACAGATGTCGTGTGAATGTTTATGAAGCTTTCACTCCTTTGTGATCCATTTTTCTTACGTACATTTTCAGCACGATTCTCGTCCAGCAGTTTTTGTGCAATTTCAACAAAAATCAAAATGTTCAGCTCTTTCAGGACAATCCTGCTGTGACTTGGTGCAACTTTAGCTTTCTTTTTTTTTTTTTTTTTTTAGCTATTTAGCCTTTTCTGCCACTTTTTTCTCATAGAAAATGAACTGAGCTCATTTTACATCCTTCAGATCTTTAGATCTGTTTACAACCTTTTACTTCTGCTTTCACATTTTGTTCTGATTTAGCTTCTTTCAGATTGCTTGTGCAAATTTAAACATTTTTTCAGCTAATTTCAGCTACTTTCAGCTTTTTGTGCAGTTTTGTGCTTGTTTCAGATTATTTCTGCTAACTACAACATTTTTGTGCTTTCTAAATTCTTTCTGCTAATTTCTGCTTGTTATGCTCCTTTCAGCTTATTAATGCAAGTTTCAGCTTGTTCTACTATTTCAGCTACTATTTAGCAGTTTGTGCTAATTTTAGCTTTTTCAGCTAATTCCACTTTTTTTTGGGGGGGGCTAATTTCAACTGTTTTCTGCATATAATGTGTTCTCTCCACTTCCTTCTGGTAATTTAAGCTTCTTTCTGATTTTTTAGCTACTTCTCAGCTGGTTTTGCTAATTTCAGCTTTTTCAGATAATTTCCACTTTTTGTGTTCATTTCTGCTTCTTTCAGTCTGACTGGGCAAAACTGTGTTCTTTCTGTGTTCTTCTGATAATTTAAGCTTGTTTTACTTTTACAGTTATATTGTTAGCCTTTTTAGCTAATTTCAGCTGTTTTCAAATAAATTCAAGTTTTTCATGGTAATTTCTGCTACTTTCAGACTAATTCACTTCTTTAAGCTAATTTCAGCTTGTTGTGCTTCTTTCAGCTTATATATGATAGTTTCAGCTATTTCTGTTATTTAATAATAATAATGTGTTATGTGATGTCTATGGCGAAATTGACTCTGCATTTAACCCATGTACCCCGGTGGAGCAGTGGGTAGCTATTGGGGGTGCCCGGGGAGCAATTGGGGATGTGGTGTCCTGCTCAGAGACACCACGAGATGTGCAATGACTGGGGATCGAGCCTGGGGCTTTAGAGTCCGGAGTCGGCTGC